TGTATATATAAGAATTCCGCTGTTAAATACGATTAGTTCAAAAATACATTGAAATAACCGGCTGATGGCCTCAACAAAAGCATTTGATTAACAAACTCGTAGCTCACCGTAGGTTTGTCTTGAACGGTGTATACGTTATTGTTAAAAAGCAATTCCCCTATGGAGAAAATGAATGGGATTTTTACTTCTGGAGTCCGACTGTTGAACTCCATTGCCCATATAGTGTGGTAAAACATTGCTGATTGGTCATGAGAGCTTGCACTCATTTAGTCAATTGCTTTGTTTGCTAATTACTAATGGTAGGAAATTAGCAAGCATTAGTCGGTGGGTCAGAAAGAGTGTTTGGCCCAATCAAACGCTTAACTACCTTTCAATTTACTGTACTCAGAGTAATCAGCTGGAGCTGACTGATATTTGGGTTTTCTTTGCTCAAAATCACCTTTGTCTTTTTTTAAATCATGGTGCATCCAAAGGTATTTTTGTTGCTCACTTGCTCTAAACTATGTCTCTGACTGACTTTTCATTTAATGATTGATTACTTCGATCACATTTTTGCATTCAATCGTATTTTCCAATTGCATCTGAGAAATACTTTTACAATCAAGCACTTAATTCAATTGAAAACCAATGCAATACTCGGCTCACAAATATTGGTGAGTCATGCTGCCCACTGATTCATGGGACAATTGACACCATTCAGACGTAATTTATGAAGAAATTTTATCATTCAGTTATAACTGATATCATACTAACACCGATTTCAATGAAAATGGAAAAAGTTCACTCGCTTCTCTATTAATCGTACTGCCAATAAGAAGGGTTACTAACCCTAACCTTTGAGTTACTAACCCAAGTTTCAAACTAACCAACTTGACATAATTATCAATTAATACAACTTTCCTCTAAACCATTAAAATCCCCTATACATTAATGCCTCTGTAGATATTTGGCTGAATTTTCTTCTTTGAAGACTCCATGAAATCAAAATCGCAGTTTGTCTGTTAGCTTTAAGGCCATCTATATATTAGTGTACTCTTAAATTTGACTTTCAGCCCAAATGTACAATCTACAGGACAGAAGACTGCACTCATCATGGCATTTCATGGGGTCTTTCACCACACCAGCACCTTCATCACTGTTAGCCTGTTTGTCAGAAGAAAAAAAGAACCATTAAATCACAACTAAACTGTGATACCAGTAAGACAATATAATGTACATCAATCCACCAACGTCTGAATTTTGAGTTTTGCACTAAAGGCACAAATAAAATGAGAAGTTGTCTAAATGCCTTGTTTTTCATTACAGTAAACTGACAACTGAGTTGTAGATGGTATCCTCTAAGTTGTTAAGTAAGGATGAATGGATGGTTTTGCATGATCGTTTAATTGTTCATGTTGATTGTAAGCTATGCATGGTTAGATGTGTTCAACTGCAAAGTTCTACAGCATGTTGTAATTTGGTGATGGGTTTGATTTGCAACAGTGACACGCTTGTCTAACGCCTGTAAGTAAATAACTGTTTTTCCCTCTTATTTTCCTGTCTCTTCAGGCTTAAATGTAAGTGCAGGAGAACTACAAAAGCATGCAAATGGCTGCCAGACAGACTTTAGTTACTCTCATTTGATTCTCCACAAACTCTTAACTACAGATATTGCAAAAAGCTTGTTTTTGGACCAGTTGATCTGCCAACTATTTATAATTTCACAATTGAAATCAGCTCCCTAGTCACCTTGTGATATGGCAAATATATTGTGTGTCTGACCTATATTAGGTTTTAAATCCAGTATCAAGGCTAATTTCCAGAGGAATTGTGTAGTGTGTGTTGCCTAAATATTGTATTTTGTTGTCTTCGCCATAGTAGGGATGGGAAAAAGTCATTGATTTGCAGCGACCGAAACAGACCTTACTCGCCAAATCTCAGCGGCCGGCATCAGATGAATGGCTGACGGTCGAGGCCCGGCCAATGAGCGAACGGGAGCTGGAGCATGTGGACTTTGAGTTCGATCTTACCCAAGAGGTACAGTCAAATTGTAGTTATGTTTGCTTGCATCCAGTCCTCGCATGTTTAAAACCAAATTTAATCCTTCCCTGCCTTTAAAAAGTTGGCATACGTGTTTTTTGTTGAGTATATGTGATAGATCAGGCTTCTATGGCTGATATAATAGGAATACAAAGCTCATACTCGTAGGAAAAAAAACCTTAATTATATTCAGGCGCCCAAACTAAGTAAATATGTATTTGCTGATTTTTATGATATTTGTTCAAAAACTTCGCAAATCAAATCAACAAGATCTTTATAACAGTATAGCAGACTACTTGCATAAAATGCATATGTATATAATGCATATCTAAAAACGTATGTATAGCAATTAAGTAACTGAGTTTCTTCAGTCCAGTAAGTGTTTGTTTTGAAATATACCTAAGTTATTTTTACATTTACTTAATAAAAATAAGTAAAAAAAAATTACAGCAAAAAGACAGGTGAACTTTGACCTGAAGAAGGACGATTTTTGTATATACTACAAGAGCTTTTATTTGCTAAGACCGAAGATCGTGTATAACGGGTTTGTCAGTGAAGGTTTGATCATGTTTATATATGTGCATGCGCATATGATACAGTAGGCTTTATAGGGTTCAATTATAGTTCGTTATAACTAATAAGTTATTGAGATCTTGATTTGAGATAAACCCTGTTGATTCCTCTGTTTTTACAGCCAGTGTTGGGGAAAGTTACTTTTAAAAGTAATGCATTGCAATATTGCGTTACGCCTTGAAAAAGTAACTAATTGCATTACTAAGTTACTTTTTATGGAAATTTTTATGTTACTTTTGCGTTACTTTTTCTCACCTGGGCTGGGCTTGCATATTTGTCTTTTTTGGCATATGTAAAGGCCCTTTCACACCATAAGTGAAATGAATAAGCCACAGGCTGAAGGAAATTGCAAATTCACATCTGTACAGTAGAGGGTGCCGCTCAAACAAACCTTTCAGCTGTGCTGCCTTTCTGGATTGCAGAAGAAAAAAAGTCAACACTTTTACTCCAGCAATAAAAACAAACAAAACTTAAACAAATGTGATGTATGTCTAAAGTCATTTTTGCTTAGTAGTATGGTTTAATTGGATCATCGAGGGTCGATAGTGGTTAATAAAGTGAGATTAAATACATAAAGTATACCTGCATTATTTAACATTTAATTAATGAAGGTTTGTGTAATATTCTGAGTTTGCATTTCACTGTTCTTATTCATTTTGAGGAATACTGAATCTTGTGCAAGTGAGATGAATAAATGCATGTTCATATTTAGTCTAGATCTACAATGACCATCATGTTCAACGCCTTTGCACTCACTCCTGATTTCTCTCTACATGGGGACAGGAGAGCTGTCAGTCAATAAATGGGAAAACAACCTTGCATCACTTGTTTGAAAACGTATAGATGTAAATTTAAAAGTAATGTGTTACTTAGTTACTTGAAAAAAGTAATCTGATTACACAACTCGCGTTACTTGTAATGCATTACCCCAACACTGGTTACACTGGTGAACTTCCCCCCTGTCCCGCCTCAGCTGTCTACACCACAGAAGGTGCCCATCCCAAAGCGACTCATGGACGTGGAGTCAGATGAAGAGCTGACTCCAGAAGAGAAGGAGGTTCGTTCTCGCACCGTAGCAAAGATAAAAAGCCTTCTGTCTAAGTCGAGGTACGCTGGAAAAATAAGATGCACACATGTAAATGGACTATGTGCTTAGATGCTGAGTCTTCCGTTGTGACATTTCAGCGGGAAGTCTACGGGACAGTCCGTGGATGCAGAGCAGATAGATTTCACTGAGCTGGATAACGCTCTTCAGCGCCAGGAGAGGATCATGAGCGTCCCTCGTGCTCTCGCCACAGAGGCCTCCATCAAGAGGAAGCAGGTCATAGGTGAGACATCTGCCACCGCTGGGAATATTGTATCATACGCAATATTGTCCTGACATTTTAAAGTAATTTTAATGTTTTGTTTTGCAGCCAAAGCCATGTCTGAGAGCTAAATTGTGTTGATAAGCTTCCTTGGGAATCCAAAGAACAATATTTTTTGTGGGGTTTTTTTTTTTACCAAATATTTATAATTCACATTCTATCATTCGGGTTCTCTGATGTTCAGAACGTTTTATATGTTTTTATTCAATTTACTGGTAAATGCCAGCTACGGTTTCAATATTCTAACATCGAGAATGGTTTATTGTGCATGACGATATGTTTTATTAAAATGTAATCGTGACTTAAGGTACTTAATTGTTTGCTGTGTTATGTATTTTAATAAATACTATTAAAAGTACATTTGATTGTAAAATACTTGCAGTGTTTCCATTCAGCAAAACTCAAGTAAGCTGTCATCTTCCATGTCATTTGATTCATCATTAAAAATCATAATTTTAATACTCTGAAAGACAATCGAGAGCTCATGCTCTAAATTAAGTATGTCACAAAGTTATTACACTTTTTACATGTACCTTTTTCATTATAAAACAGCAGTTCCAGATACATCATTATTCAACTTCTAAATTGTCTATAATTTCATAATTGTTTGCAGGCATGAGGTGTTATATTTACCAGTTTAACAAGAACATTTATTCTTGTGTATATACCCTGTATATTTTTATATATATGGAAAGTTTTATAATCACAATCACAGAATAATTTTTTCTCTTTATTGATATTCACACATTGACTTGATACACACAATGGACATTTTGTCTGCAACTTAATGTATCTCAGTTTCATGATAACCTCAGTTTCTGCTCATCCTCGTGCTCATATGAAATTTCAAGGGCTGAGACTCTGAGACTGATTTCCTTTCTTGTAGGAACTATTTCTTTAATTTGTAGAGAAGAAACGGTTCTCAACAAGTTCAAGCAAGTCCAAATAACATGGCACAGACGTAATTATTTAATTTTTTTAAAAAATCCATTTTAAAGGTGCTCTCACTCTCAATCAATTACTGGAACATTTTAGGAGATCCAAAAAATTGCAAAAAAAAACAACACCAACAAAAAAGCCATTTATGTGGCTTTTACAAATGCCATTTTAAAAGTTTTTTTCTTGTCCTCTGAGTCTGTGTGCTCCTCCTGTTTCTTGAGCTCTGTGTTAGAAGGTGTTTTCTCTTCCTCGTGTGGTTCTGATGGTTGTTCACTGGTCTTTTCTGAACTGTCCGACTCCTCGGGCACAGCAGCGCTCGGACTCGCAGCGGGTGGATCGGGCTGTGAAGAGGAAGCACAGCAGTTCACAACAAATCAACAAAACATTTGCTCACATTCTGCAATTCCCAATATGAAAATCTCAAGTATCAACATTATTTCACACCACAGCTTATAAGAGTGCTCAGACCTCACTAAAGCCCAGGCCGCAGTGTCTCCTGTTTCTCCCTGACATCTTCCCATCCAGACCCTGTCGGTACTGGTGTTCAAGCTCTGCGTTAATCTTCTGATCCTCTGACCCTACAGACACACAAACAAATACAATATAACAAGATTACAAATGATTAAAGGCCATCATACTTGTCAGTATTTGCCCATATACATTTTTATTGCTATATCAGCATCAAAGCAAAAATGGCAAAAAAGTATACCATTTCTATATATAAATAAATATACAGTAGTCAATATTTAAAGTGGATCAAAAAAGTTCATCAAAGTTGTACTAAGACAAAGAATGGCAAAAAAAAACACTATATATATTATATATCACTCATCATATATATAATGAGTGTATGTATTTTATGCCATTTTTGCTTTAATGCGGATCATATAGCATCAAATAGAAACAGCATTGATAGAAATTCAAGCATTTTCAACATTCAACATTACAATAAAATGTCTCCCTCGTGGTTTGTTTCACACAGCGTATATCAATAAGAAACTGGAATATGGTAGTTGTTTAATATTTTACAAGTGTACACTGCATTGTAACGTAGTCCTATGTGCACAGTAAATGACAGAACATTACCGGTGGTTGGTTTAAAGGTCAGAGCATGTTCTCTAAAGCTGCACTGTAGGGAAAAGGATATGTGGCGTTAGGATGTCATCTGATCCAGTCCCCATAAAACCGGGGATTTTGAAGTGTCTCATCCAACACAATAGGAGACTGCAATCACTTTCCAGCAACCCTTCACTTCCACCCTAGAGACTCACCGCTGCGGAAATGGGAAGTTGACTTGTGATCCCCAATAACAAGGCGTCCAGTGTGCTCTTTCTGTCAATGCATGAAAACATTTAAAGCAAGAATGTGTGATGTTCTAATTAGTTAATACTTGTTTGAGATGATTTAATAACAGAAAGAAATGTACCTTTCCTGCTCCCATCAGCCTCAAAAACTTCTGCTTCCTTTCGTCTGTCCCTAAATCTGCCGATGTCCATTTTGTGGATCCTGTCTGCATTAACAGGTTAAAACAGATTCAGTTGATTCATTAGTGTTATAGAAAAGCACGTTCTTATAATAAAATAAAGTTTTTTTTAAACACATATATATATACATACACACACACACACATTATATATATATATATATATATATACACACACACACACACATTATATATATGTATATAAAATATTAAAATGACGTTTATCTATGAATGCAAAAAACGCTTAACATATCACCTGGAACTGAATTATCTACAGTAGCTAACTACAGTAGTTATGCAAAATTATTTATAGTCAAAGCAGAATAAAGTACCAAAACGGCAGATAATACACTAGAAAGATGCATGTGTAACTCCTTTGGCACACGACTAACATTTAAAAATAGTTGCAAGTTACAACCCACTGCTAACAATCTGCTAACATTTCTGGTACACCAAAATGCCAGATCTGCTGTAGTCATTTCAAAAATACATGATGATGGAAATCACATACTTCATCTGGAGATGCGGGTCGTTTTGTGCCTTTACATTTTTCGTCTGAGGAACTCATTATCAAAGGTTTTGAACAACAGTGGTGGTCAAATCAACCACTGCCTGCCTGCTTCACCGTTTAACTAGCATAGCAGCTAGCAGCTATCGAGAACCTGCGCGCAATGCATCTTGGGAGTTGTAGTTACAACGACGCAAAATCGAGTCTACGAGGCTATAAATAACTTAATGTAAACCTAATGTTTTGTTTGTTTGTTTTCAACAAACCATTTGACCATATCCATCCTATAGACAGACAGCATTGTTGAAACCTAGTTGATTTTTGGGTGTTAAAACTAGCCCCGCGTTAGGTTGTGCCCCGCTTGTTTAGGCCTAGCCTATGTATTCATGCCTACTACATGTAATAATTATTGATCAACACGTTCATATTATTAGAAACATTTTCAATGTTGTAAATGAGGTAACTTAACTTTTTTAAATTCACTTTAAAAAAAAGAAAAAAGAAGTGGGCTAGGCCTAAATGGTAGGCTAAATGTTGCAAACAACAGATTAAATAGAGCGGGGTTCGCGTTTTCAGGGAGAATAGAAACTATAATAAATTATAATATAAAACATAGATAATACAAATTATCAAATAAAATATAGAGAATATGTTATTCATTATAATGTAAACTATATACAAAAGAGCCCGTTTGCACCAACTGATGTAAATTTAGATTCGTCATGCATTGTCGTTTAATCAATTAAAACAAAGTTTTTATATGTAAATAATGTGGGGCTGAGTTTGGCACGGGACACATCTCTCTCTCTCTCTCTCTCTCTCTCTCTCTCTCTCTCTCTCTCTCTCTCTCTCTCTCTCTCTCTCTCTCTCTCTCTCTCTCTCTCTCTCTCTCTTTCTCTCTCTCTCTCTTCTGGCTCAGTGCGTTTATAAACACATGAGCTCGTGGGTAGTCTAGTCTCAGAGATCCGGTCTGCCTGCACTTCCACTCAAATCCATCTGTACAGAGACTGACACTCCTCTTCCTCATCTTCCTCCAGACCAGCATCATTTCAGCGCCTGCTTCGACGACATCAAGCCATGGCTGTTACCGGCTGCTCTCAGTGCATCAAATATATGCTTTTCTTCTTAAACTTCATTTTCTGGGTAAGTTTGCTTGTTTACCGATATTATTTTTAGTGTTCCTTGTAGGCTACTACTATTGAAAAAGTCTAAAGTAATTCTATAGCTAACAAAAACACCTTCAAGTAAGACCTTTTTGCTAATGTTCCCATGATAAAGTTATGACTGTTCTGTTCTGAACATTTCTGAATGTTCTCTGTCCAGTTTTACTTTCAGTCGTCAAGGAAACACTTTGGGAATGTGTACTTTTGAATGTTCTCTGAAGATTCTAAAACAAGTAGTTGCTAAAATAAAAAATGTAACATTTAAAAAACGTTCAACTAAAACCTTTCTGAAAAAAATAGTTGTAAACAATATATAGCTAAGTAATGTTTTTGTTCTAGTGTTTTGAGAGCATGATTAAAGACCAGATTTGAACAAACACTCTTTACTGGAAGAACGTTTGTCCATAGAGAACCTTTACCACAAGGATGTAGCCTGAGGTCTGAGAATTTTCCCTGTTAGCTTTATCATGAAAATGAAAAAAGAAAAGGAATTTTATGGTATTATACATTTATGTCATACTGATATTTGTTATTACTAATATAATGTTAAATACTACTGTCACACTGTAAAATAGGCTACTATATATACACAAACTTGTAATTTGTATTGTTCCTGAGTCAAGTCTTTAGTGCAGAAAAGCAAAAAAGTTCTGACTCTAAACAATCATCCCATCTGAAGTGATTAGATGTGCTTCTCCCCCCATTTCTTCTCACAGATTTTTTTTCCCAGTGTTTTTTGTTGATTTCTGCAATATGCCACTGACTGGATTTGAGATCTAAATTTAAAAATGAACATTCTGTCATCATCCCCCTCGTGTCATTCCAAACCTGTATGACTTCTTTGGAGCACAAAATGAGATATTTTGAAGAATATCCATGCTGCTGTTTTACAGAATCAAAATAATGCCCAAAAAGGAAAAGGAAATAAAATAGTGTTTGAGTTTAAGGACATTTAAAACACATACCTGTACATTAACTGGATTAAATAATAACTGCATGTCATGTCATAGATAATTTGGTGTTTGCATGCAGTAGCGGTTTTAGGCACGGGCGAATCGGGCAGTCGCCCGGGGCGGCATTTTTTCATGTCACATGGGGGGCGGCACGAGCAGTTTAAAAAAAATCCTCTGCGCCGCGAAGGTTTTCTATTTTCTATCATTTCAATTCAATTATTGGCAATGGCACCCCTGCTTGCTGAGAAGGTGCCGTGCACAGAAGCGATGTCAAGGGGGTCTCCAGATTGGAGGTATAGCTCACCAAGGGGCCGTTCACATATCGCGTCTTTTGCGCGCTCGAGGTCGTTATTTCAAATGTAGGCGCACGGGAAGCGCGCTCATAATTGAAGCGACGCGCTCATTTTTTCCAGGAGCAGCGAGATGAACATTTTTAATCTTTTCAGTATGGGGGTGCACCCAAACACGTGGGTGTTTTTCTCTTCTCCGTAAATAAATCTTTTAGCAGAGCTACAGCAAGCGTTTTTCTGTTGTGGAAATCCATTAGCTGCTAAAACTTCGTTGTCGTTGTGGAGAGCGCAGTGCATGGTTGTATAGCAACGACAGCCATGGGAAAATCGGACCGAATTTTACTATTAATCATATAAAAAATAAGCTACTGTGCATTATAAATGTCAGGAATTTATCTTTATTGACCCATTTTTTTTTATAAAGATGATTTAAAGGCTGAAATATGTGAGGTTTATCTTTTTATACAACCTTTTTTGTCAAAAGTTTATTTGAACGTGTAGGCCTACATGTTATTTGATAACATAAAACACACTCCTTTAAAATTTGGCCATCATCTTTAATGTTATTAACTTGGTGAATAGATTTCATTGTGTAGTAGGCCTACTTTTTGAACAAGATTCTGTGATTAACCGTGATCATTTTGGTCACTATATTCATGAAATGAAAATAATTTTCATAATGATCAACTAAAATCAACTATAATTATGTGTTTTTACAGTAGCCTATAATATGCAAAGTACAATTTTCTATTAAAAAATAATCTCTGATTCTGTCTTTTTCTCTGACAAGGCCTAAGCTATTTTAGGTCTAAAACAGTTTGGATAGTTGTTAATATTAGAGTTATTATAAATTATTTAAGAGATAAGTATTGTGTTACTACATAAGTATCTCTCGGCCACTTTCACTTTTAAAAACTCTATTTCGTGACAAAGTATAGTTTAACAAGTCATAACTAAAAGTGTGCCATGCATAGAATTCGAGGCAGTAACCAATGAGCTAATGGTTCCTCCCTGAAAGTTAGATTAATATAGCAAAATAACTGGATTTTCTTACTGTTTTTTTTTTTTTTCAAATGAACGGTATGTGATTTTATTGTTGTTGTTTTTTTTCTTGTGTGAGGGGGGGGCTCGAAGGGGGTCTCGCCCATGGTGTAATTCAATGTAGAACCGCCACTGTTTGCATGCATAATATTTTGTTAAAGCATAGTTTATTTTGCATCTCACAGTCAGTTAAATAGCGTAGTCAGAGTTTGTCTTGTGTTCCTAGACATGCAGAAAATGTGTGTCCCTCCAGAGAGAATGAGGGTTAGCTGTGGTTTTGCTATATTTTTACACTCTCTATAATTATGTCCATGTGCTTTAGGGACATGAATACACCTTAAAAGAACTGAAACACATGCGAAAGAGAATCACAGGCACACAAGTTGTTTTAGTAAATTTAGTTGGTAATAATGGTCTGTGTTTCTTTATGTGTGTGTGTGTGTACACACATATGCTGCGATAACTTCATAAAATGTTGACACAGTCTGCTGTGATTAAAACATCACATGATGTTCAAACAATGATATCATAGAGTAAAGCTAATTATGCGTTTTGAGAAATGTCAAATTAGCATTAAGCAGCAAGATAAACATTTTGGAATAACATTCATTACTGGAAATAAATGATGGTTACCGCATTCTGAGTTGTTCAAAAACTAAAACTAAAAATCACGTAATTTTCGGACTCAGCTTAATAAAAGTCGACTTCCCAATGCTAATGCAAATTTAAATTCATGTTTTCATCCAAGACCTTCAGCTTTCATGAGAATGATGTTGTGTGATATCACATCCACAGCGCCAATCCCATACTCTCTCGAGATGCGTATTGTTTCCTGTCATTGTACTTTACATGTTGCCAACAAAAAAAAAATACATCTGCCTGACATCCACCATTCTCTGAGTAAAGCTGCCGCTTCCTGAATTACAAAAAAAGAAACAAACAGAGGGTATCACAGCAGAGTGGTCTGAAGAGGACACCCACCCTTTTTTTGTGCGTGAATAACACTAAACCTGTCAGATGTTTCTTCCCCAAATGCAGGAAGAAATGACCTCTGGAATGACCTACGGAAAAAGAATTGAGACAAACATTTCTGGGCGATGACGATCTGTAGAATTTCAGTATCTAAATAGTGAATCTGAAAAGTGCTCTGTTTTTTTTTTTGGTCTTCTCTTATTTTTAGCTGGCTGGTGGAGTGATTCTGGGTGTAGCTCTGTGGCTTCGCCATGACAGTCAGACCAGTAACCTCCTAATGCTCCAGTTTGAAGGGAATCAAGCACCAGGAACCTTTTATATCAGTAAGTGACTTCCGCTCACACACTACAGCTGGCTAGGTCATTGATGACAAAGTTCTAATTATTATTAAGTTTAATTATAAATACAATAGTCAGCTGCATGTAAGAGTGGAACCAACAGCTGTTTTGTCCCTCAAATAGCGTCAGATTTAATATGTGAACAAAACTACTAGTTTTGTTCCAATTATCCAACCTTGTTATTTAAACTAGCCACCGAAACCCTGCTATCATGAGCATCTGATGGTAACTAACAACCATCGTTTAGATAAGAATCGTGTTATTCATTCTAATTTTGGGTCTTTATTTACCTATGTTTTATTATTATATACATAATACAATCCTGTACAAATGTTGTTAAAAAAGTAAGGACAAAACAGAGATGCAGAACAACTGAAGGACATGTACAGCATAAATAAACAATTCACAATCATGTAAACATAGCAGTATTTGAACAGGAAATGCATTGAAAATGTATAAACTTGCATATGTCCTTTATGTGAGCCAAGGGATAATCTACGGCTAGCTGTGCATTAAATGATTTTAATGAACGACGTGGATAAAAAGAACCACTGTTATTGATGTTTGCAGTAAAATATTTGACTGAAAGGACAAAAATGACGGTTATTTTGTATTACGGTCAGTTACAGCAATCTGCCTGCTTTAAATCTGACACAGAGATCAAGTAGTGCTGGAAGATTACATTTATTTGAGTTAATGAATTAAAGCATTTATTTGAATTAATTATTGAGAGAGAGAGAGATGAGAGATGCATGTGTGTGAATTACCTGCGTCTGTTCAGCGTCTCTCTCTATTAACAATAAAGCTGTGAGTTGAATTACTTCAAAACCAGCGATGTTACCCCTGTTGCTGAGAAATATAATGTAGTGATTCAGTAGCTAAGCTACTTTATTAATAAAAGTCACAGGGCAGCGTTTGCTAACAAGTTTCTGTGCTGCTAAATGTTTATGTGTGTCGCGTTGCGTGTGTGTGTGTGTTTCAATGAAAACAGCGTAGAACGGTGACTGGATTTTAATGCACACCTTCCAGCCAATCAGAATTGAGTATTCAGACAGACCATGGTATAATAATAGTTTGTTAAAGTTGGCATGAAATGGAAGTTGCAAGTCTTTTCTTCCCTATTGTGTCCTTATTTCTTCCCTAATCTAGATTATGAGGGCACATGAATTTTTAAATAATGATGTTTTGCACAGTTAAATCATTTATAAAAAAAATCCTGCAATATTCCATAAAAAAATATGAATAGTCAAATTTGATTTCATTGTGACTTTGCATGATCAGGAAGCCTTTGCACTATGAACTTTGAGAAACAATTACTCCTGAAATAGAGGTGCATCTCCTCAAAAGATGGAAGGAAGAGGGAAGCAGGGTCTAAGCTGGACTTTGACAGGGTCACTAAATCACTTCGTGTGTACGTACGTGTGTTTAAACAATTAATATGATGGCATCAGCGCATTATCATTGCATAAGAGCAGATGGAGTCATGTTGTCATTCCTGTATTTTCTTTAATAACACTTTATTTGACTGCTTTTACATGAAGTCAGTGATTCTACAGACACACCCACAGGGTGTTTTAAAAGAACCAGGGAAAGACTAAAAGTGACCACAGGGCGTGTTCATGCTCCACCCGTATGTGCACACACACTCACATTTACACACTTAACCACAGCAGATGCACACAGAGTTCAGTGGCACAAGGTCAGCTTGTTGTGGGCACTAGCATAGAGTTAGCGGCCATTCATTTTTTTTAGAAACCATCGGGTTGTCTCTCTCCACTCAGTATAAGTACATGTAGGAGCAAGAGCTCCGCCTGTTCCTTTTTATAGCAGCAACAACCTTTTCTGATTAAAGAAGTTTAAAGGGTTGTTGGTCTGGCCCACCCAGAGAAAGAAGAGAGAGATGAAGAGTTCTTCTCCCACTGCTACTGAACATCCGTGTAATTGAAAAAGCCCTGCTCATGTGCCCGTTACACCGCAAATTAGAATGAGCAGTGCTTGGGTTCGCTCAAGTGCCGGTTAAACAACCCTAAAAATATGTTCAAGCCAGGCCGCCCTAGCAAATCATTACAGCTTAGAGAGAAATCTGGCTGGAGAATACTCTAAAATCCCTAAATATAAGTTTTAAACAGAGAGTGGAGCTCGAGCAGCAGCGAGGACAGTGTGTTTTGAGCAATGAAACAAATCTAAAAGAGAATACATCATCATAGAGACTACTTATTTCATATAAAAGAGGATATATGATACAAGTATATACTTTATACACAGCCTACACAATCTTTTTGTTTTGTTTTATGTGCTCCCATAGTTGCATCAGTAAAACAAATTGTGCTTAATTGTATTAAATGCTGTACACTTTACCCATATTTCAAAGTCAACTGAAGTAATTATGAAGTTACAGTACATATAAAGATGTACTTAAGTCCTACCTATATAAATTTAAACTATAGCCTAATACATTTTCATTGAATTGAAATTAAAGTGTCTAAAACGTTACATTCTGTTCGCACTTTAGCATATTCTTTTAAAGTATATTAGTATATACGTAGTGTATGGAAGCTTGTTTTCGCCACAGAATAAAAAATAGGTAAGGTAAAAAAAGGTAATTGTGACTTTTTATCTCACAATTCTGACTTTATTTCTCAGAATTGCTAGATGTAAACTCGCAATTGTGAGATAGAAAGTCGCAATTATCTTTTCAAATGTTTTATTCTGTGGTGGAAACAAGCTTCCATAGCATAGACTATATATTAGGACTGTGCAGTATGCTAAAGTCTACTTTTTCAAAAAGAGAAGCCAGAAACTGTTGTTGTTGTTTTTTTTTTTTACTAACATACTGGAATATTAAACAGTGCGGGTGTTGCCAGTTTCACTCTTTGGTTTTAATTGTTTAGAACAAACTCCCTGAACTTTAGTATGAGCAGTAATAATAATGATACATTTACAGAGATGTTTTCCATGTGTTTAGAGACGGTCGTGTTTTCAGATGCTGTTGTGCGAGTCTAATGGGCACCGAAAGCTAATCTGGCTCTGTTATGTGGAAGTTTCCTGTTTAGAGTAGATCTTCCTATGCCTGTTTATAGCTTGTATGGTAACATGCTCTTTTACCTATAAGTCTGAGCCTGAGATTTTCTCGCTCTCTCTGTTTTTGCAGTGTTTAAAGCTACTGTTATGGTACTGTAAGTCAGGTAGGAAAATACTCAGTAGCTTTTGTTAGTTTTTACCTCTGAATTCCACTGAGAAAAGACTTTACCAGCTTAACTTTAAGTTGCAGTTTATCATTAATTTATTTATCTATCATTAGGATGAAGACTATATACTCCACATACAGTAGTTTTAAATGCATTCACAAATATATTAATAGGATTCAAATTTGAGGTAATGTTCAACACGGCTGCACACGTGCCATCTAGTGGCAAAATATTGCATTAGCGGTTCCTAAAAATGATGATGAATGTTGTCCTATAGAAACTGTGAACATGTGCAATTGATGTGAATCTCTAAAAGTTTGGTGTCAGGATCATATACATACATTATCTGTGTTGCTCTTTCAGGTGTGTATGTTCTCATAGCGATTGGGGCTGTAATGATGTTTGTGGGGTTCCTCGGCTGCTATGGAGCTATTCAGGAATCTCAATGTCTCTTAGGAACGGTGGGTTTTACTCAACTCATACTGTTGTTCATTCTGCATGCCTTTAATAGATTTACCATTCATCTTCAAAAGACCTTTACAAGAGCTGTACGGTTTACTTACTCAAAACCATTGCAGTTTGCACGAATTGTTCCCCAATTTCACCAGATTCTTTCAGTAGATGACAATAACCTTGTGAAAAAAGATGTACACTTTACTTTAGCATTATGTATTACTTTAGAAAAGCATATACTCAAGTGCAAACTGAATATAATGTTTTTGGACGCGTAACTGCATTGCAGATCAATTAGCAAACACTTTACAATAAGGTTTCATTTGTTATCATTATAGTTAATTACATTAGTGAACTAACATATAATTACATATATGAACTAACAATGAGCAATACTTCTACAGCATTTATTAATCTTAGTTAATGTCAATATCAACATTTAGCCTATTACATTATTATCAAAAATTGTATCTGTTAACACAAGTAAATGCACTGTGAACTAACATGAATATTTTTAATAATAGATAATAGAATATATTGGTTAACAAATGAGACCTAAAATGTATTATAGTTTACATTAATATTAAATGTAATTATATATATATATATATATATATATATAATTACTGTATGTATAAATATATGTGTGTGTTGTTTATACAGTATACACACACACACACACACACACATATATAATATATATAAATATAATTATATATATAATTAATTAGCTGAATTTTAGAGGCCCTCGAAACCGGGGGTATATGTATAATTCATAATTATTCATAATTACTTCTTGTCTTTGCAATATTGTTAAAGTGTTGTGCTAAAAGTACTGACAACCAAACTAAATTATATATAATTCCTATTGAAACTTGTACATACCGGTACATTAAATGTATTTGTAATTACACATTTGTAATAATAATGTTGCAAAGTAGTACATTTATTTTAAAGTATTTTAACTTTAAATGTAATTTCAAATAATCAAACAAATTGCGGTTAAAAATAAGATCAAGTCCTTTACACGTGCTTCATTTTTATATGTCAAAAGTAAGTGTAGTATATTAAGTGTTTTAATAAATTATTAAATTTAAACGAAAAATGTAAACGTAAAACTATTCATTTTACATTAGGACAAAATGCACTATTTAAAAGTCATGAAAGTGTAAAGCATTTGCACGTTTAGTTTAAAAAAAAACATACTTTTAAGATTTAAAGTACACTACAAGTACTCATTCAATACAATTAAGCACAATTCTTTTTCACAACAAGGGTTGTGCTATTTAGTCATGTTTTAATGATTTTTTTAAGGAGAAACCATACAGTCATACTTATACCTTCTTATTCCAGTACTTCTTTCTTCATCACACATTTTTGTCTTTTTCTCCCTCAGTTCTTCACATGTTTAGTGATCCTCTTCGCCTGTGAGGTGGCAGCAGGAATATGGGGCTTTATTAACAGGGACACAGTATGTCTACACACACATATACACTCAAAGACTCAAAGTCTGTATGTTAAGACCTTCATTTTGAGAGCGTCACTCTCCTCTTTCTGTCCGTCCAGATCTCCACTGAGCTCATTAACTTCTATGATACTGCATACATTAAAGCTGTGGATCCTGTGGAGACAACATCCAAACAGGCAGCTGCCAAAGTCCTGGAGGTCTTCCATGACACAGTGAGTTTCCAAAATCAGTTCTCTCATCAAAACCCCTCTGCTTTTGCCAGTTAACAATCCCTATCCCATCGTTTTCACATTCTCTCAATATCTAGCTTGAGTGCTGTGGTAAAGGGGATGATAATGAACTCTTCACAGCTGTCCAGGCCTCTCTGTGTCCCAAGAAGACCAACCCAGTCGACCTGCTCATCTCTCAGGTATCTGTTTTATGTAGTGTCAACAAAAAACATGACATTTGTATATAACAAATATTTCTATGGTAAAACAGCATCTAAACATTTGACCAGTGTGGCTCACACAATGACAAAAACACTTTTTATTTTGGTGGCATTGGCCGATTTACCACACATTAACTCGGTTTTGAAGCATGAATTCAATATTTTGGGTGAGTTACTAGTACTACATTTTACAGACATGCAACAGAGTTCTGATGTTCCAACAAACTGTTGTGACTATTGCACTTATAGTTTAGAGAATGCTAAGACCGTTTTGATTGAAAATGGTGTTGTGCACTTCAGAGTTGCCACACGAAGCTAAGGGACCTGTTCTCTGAGAAACTCCATGTCATTGGATTGGCCGCCCTAGTGATCGCTGTCATTATGGTGAGAATGTACACACATGCACAATTACAGACTTGTACTAAGAATAACTCACCGCCCCTCCCAAAATTTCCCTGTGTGTGTATAATTTCCTCTCTGCTTCGTGTCCAGGTTTTTGAGATGATCTTCACCATGGTTCTCTGCTGTGCAATCCGCAATGCTCCTGCATACTGAGTTGCTGGATGAAGACCAGGCCGATCAACATTGTTTGATTTTTCCTAGTGATGGGCAGGAGGCCATTTCACTTTTGCATTCCCTCTCTTTTCAAGTTCAGATGTCCAAACACTGAACATTGATCCCTGTGTTTGTAGAGAGGACTTTTTCACTGAATGCACACCGAACGCTATAATAAATAAACCAATAACTGATATCAGGGAAGAGGAATAATGTGATTGACAGTAATATGGATAACATTGCTATAATGTATTGTTTTACTTTTATTTAATCAGTTTATTAGATTTTCTCTTACAATGCTCTTATGGCCTATTTTCAACTTTTGGTAGTAAAAGTGCTTCAATGCACTTACATTTTAGTTTGTGTATGTGTGCTTGTTTGCGAAGTAAATCAATGTGATGTTTATAGAGTAATAACCTATGAATCCGTTATGCAACAGGTAAATTTGTTTCTTGCATATCATTGGATTCTATGCAACAATGCATTGGATTTCATTAGTGGCCTTTATGATGATGGCATGATAATCTAATGATTTAAACCAAAATCAAATAATTAATTACTCAATGAGCCCATACTTTTTTTTTTTTGGGGGGGGGGGGGGGGGGGGGGCATTCAGTTTATTTCTAATAAATCTAAAATAAAATAAAATAAAAAAATCTTCCAAATTAATGTGTCATGAATGTTGTGTCAGTAATGTATTGAATAAGGGCTGAGGCTGAGTTTATTCCAATGTGAAGACTGTAGAAATAGAATGTATAGATAGATAGATAGATAGATAGATAGATAGATAGATAGATAGATAGATAGATAGATAGATGCTTGCAAGATTCAAAAGATAGATAGGTAGATAGAATATGATGGGGTTGTGCAAAGAAAACGGCACTGTCGCTTTAAGAACAATGTTAGCAAGATTCAAAAGATAGATAGATAGATAGATAGATAGATAGATAGATAGATAGATAGATAGATAGATAGATAGATAGATAGATAGATAGATAGATTGATTGATTGATTGATTGATTGTGATGGGGTCGTGCAAAGAAAATGGACTGTTGCTTTAAGAACAATGCTTGCAAGATTCGAAAGATAGATAGATAGATAGATAGATAGATAGATAGATAGATAGATAGATAGATAGATAGATAGATAGAGAATGGTGGCGTTGTGCAAAGAAAACTGCACTGTCGCTTTAAGAACACTGTTTGCAAGATTCAAAAGATGGATGGATGGATGGATGGATGGATGGATGGATGGATGGATGGATGGATGGATGGATGGATGGATGGATGGATGGATGGATGGATGGATGGATGGATGGATGGATGGATAGATAGATAGATAGATAGATAGATAGATAGATAGATAGATAGATAGATAGATAGATAGATAGATAGATTAAAGAAAACATTGTGCACTGTCGCTTTAAGAGCAGTGTGCGAGATTCAAAAGGTGAGGCTCCGCCCACTCAGTCTTAGGTCAGTTTCGTTTCATCGATCGAGAGACGTTCTGCTGTAACAAACCTTTAATGATGGGAGCATCTAATGACAAACCTCTGAAATGTCCTCTGTGTCACGAGGAGTGTCGGGATCAGGTGACGCTGGGATGCGATCACAGCTTCTGTCGGGTTTGTATCAGAGAGTTATGGAGTGGATCTGACACTGGACCGTATTACTGCCCCGAGTGTAGATACGAGTACCAGCAGCTGCCGGACTACACGGACGGAGCCTCGACATCTACAGCCACAACAAACACACGTACGTTCATTAACACACAACTAAACAAACCTTGACTTTGATGACTTCTAGCCTATGTTATATTTGTAGTGAACATGTGTAAATTGACCATGACGTAGGCCACAATTACTCCTGTGTGTTGATCTGTTGTAACGTTAGTTGATTAACGTTAGTTGTCTCGTATCAAGTTTCAAGCATAACGCTTTAATAGTGAATAGGATGACGCATTTATAGATTCTTCTTATAGTTATAGAAAATTAAGATTTTTCACAGTCTCATTAGTTTGTTTAATTTTTCTACTAACAATGTTCCACAGTTTGTAACTTATACTAATAACTTACATCACGGGAGAATTATGTTATTTTTTTTGTTATTTTCAGTCATTTCCAAAACAACATCAATAAAGCAATATCAAATGTATTATATTTAAAAGCATTCTAGGACAGAAATGATATATTTATATATAGAAAACTCAAAGTTAGTTTTTAAAAGAAAAATATTAGCCTATAATTACACACTATTGAATAATATTTCTTTTACACTTTGTGTATAATTTTACAATTGCAAATTGATTTGAAATAATGTACAATAAAAACAAATATTTAGTTCATTAGTGACAGTTACCTTGCACATGTCAAAGAATTCATATCAGGCCCTGATATATTTTGCCTAGTTGGTAAACAAGTTAAAACAGACCACAACTGAGGTATGATTAAAAAAAAAAAAAAATCGGTTTTTACTTTATTTTGATGGTCCCTTTAAAGGGGTCATATAATGCCATTTTTGTACTAATATGATTCTTTAGGGTATAAATTAAAAGTTTGTAATATACTTTAATAAAAAAATTTCATTAGTATTGTAAGAAAACACTTATTTTACTTGGTCAAAAACAGCTCTGTTTTCAGCACGCCGTTTCAGTGCATATGCCTTTAAATGATAATGAGCTTTGCTGACTCCGCCCCTCTGTTCTGTGCATACACCGTTTGTAACACAATAACCATAACGCGTTATAGACGTGGGATTATGAATTATATTGGGAACGTCGTACATAGAAAACATGCCGTAATGTACCCTAAGTGTAAACCTTAAGACGCATTCATCGTGAAGCGTGCAAGCGATTTGCAAAGATTAATATAAATATTAATATAAAGGTTAATAAAACGTTACACTCACTTCAGTTGTTCTAGAGGTTCAGCAGGAACACGAATATCTGGTACCGATCCTTTATTCAGGAGCAGCTTCTTAGCAAAACCAGCTTTATACTGACCCTGGTTTATAAAGCAGTCTGGTGAGAAATGATTCGCGCAAACATGAGAGCATTGATGTTGATCGTGGGGAATATTACCTTCGAAAACAAACTCAGCCACTGCGTCTTCAGCGGTTCGGATTTAGGAACATTAAAATGACTGTGTTCGTTATTACACCCAAGAACAGAACACCACAATCGCTTAGACGCCATTCTGCTCATAGACAGTGCTCCAGCATATCAACAATGACCGCGCCGGTCCGTGCAGACTATGATTGACAGCTGGCTCACGAGCGAGGGCGGGTCTGTGTTGAAACGCTGCTGTCAATCAACACTCGTGGGAGGGGCTTCCGAGCGTGTGACGTCACACGGTTGAACGGCTCGATTTGAGGCAGGGGAAAACATATAAGGAGATTAAAACAAAAACACTGGATGGATTTTTATCATTTTATGATGGTTGTGTACAGCCACTGCCAACACACATTTCAGTACAATCAACTTGAAAAAGTGCATGTACCATTATATGACCCCTTTAACACATGCACCTACATGCCTACTAACTCTCATTAGAGTGTTAGTAGAGTATTAGTAGACTGGTATGGTTAGGGTTAGATTAAGTTGACATGTAGTTGCAAAGTTACTTATAGTCAGTAGAGTGTCTTTTGGGGAGCATCACAATAAAGTGTTTGCAGATATTACAGCAGACAGTCTATTAATACTCTAATGAAAATTAGTTGAAGTTGCAAAGTTACTTATAGTCAACAGAATGTTCAAAAGGGACCATCAAAATAAAGTGTTACCAAATATTCTCTATTGTGTCAAAATAATGTTTATAATTTAGTTTCATGGATTTAGAAGACGAAAAGTACGGGTCTAGGACAATAAAACGTCAAATCCATTTGAAAAATAAATAAATAATAATAATTAAAGCATGGTAAAAAATCTTCCAAGACAGTTTTAATCTGACTTTCATATATCAAAAATAAAAAGTTGAAATCTGTTAGTTTTAATAAAATCAACTCCTAAACAAAAATAAAAATGCAGAAGCTGGAGAAAAACACTTACAGTACATAATACATTAATGCGGTTCCATGTTTTCCTCTAGATTGGGGCTTCAGAAAGAAGCAGCATGGCCGGCACTCGAACAAATGGCCTGGGAAGAGGAAGTTCAGTTCGGCGTTCCATGGTGGCGGATGGAGACTTGGCACAGGGCCATTTAATGAGTCTGACATCAGTGACCCTGATGTAATCGCCATCAATGACTCTGATGAAGAAACATCAATACCACGGAAAAGAAAGGCCACGGCAGATGAACGCCCATCTGAAAGCCAGACTCCGTCAGTGGTTTGGGGGATGACCTCTACAAGTGACACATCGACACAACACACACCTCCAGAAACAGTGGAGATCACATCTCCTCTTGTAGGATCATCTCCTGAGAGGAACACAAGTTCCTCTCAGCAAGACCAGCATACCGTGGCTTCACACGGTGACACAGGCTCGCCCAGGAGAAGCAGCACATCTCAGGGAGAGAAAGAAGTCTCAAAAGAGCCACCAAAAGCCTGTGACTTACCAGCAGTCAACGCCACCTCTCATTTGCTTGGAAGGCGGGAAAGGGACAGTGCTTCTAACAGTGAATCATCTTCCCTCAGGATGTCCTCTACATCATCAGAGAGACTTTCCAGGAGCAGCTCTGTGCCGTGCCATTACTGTCCCAGTTCGGAGCAGAAGGTGGCGGTAAAGACCTGCCTGGTTTGCGGGGCGTCCATGTGCTCCGAGCACCTGCGCGCGCACCTGGAAAAGCCTGTGTTCCAGAACCACCCGCTTGTGGACGCTGTGGAGGACGTGTCTCTCTGGAGATGCCAAGAGCACCAGGAGATGAACCGGATCTACTGCCGATCATGTGCAGTGTGTGTTTGTACTGTGTGTTCCCTGGTCGGGTCGCACAAGGGGCACGAGTGCATCAGCATCCGCGAGGCAGAGCAGGAGCTCAGAGTGAGGCATTATTTGGCACTTTTATGTGGTAGTTATGTGGTAATATGTGGCTTGACATTCATGTTACTATTGTGAATAATGTAGGTTATAAGCATATTATCTAAAGTAGTACACTGTCGTTCAAAAGTTTTTTAAAGGGATAGTTCACCCAAAAATGACAATTCTGTCATTAAAGAAGAACTCCGGCGCAAAATGAACCTTTGGTCGAATAAAACATTGGTACCTAGTCAACCGTTCTCTGAGATTTGTTTTCATGATAATCGAATGTAAAGAGTTTTATCTCTAAAAACTGTTTAGCGTATAACGCTAATAATGGGGGCATATAATAAGTAAAAAGAAATCGCTAGTTTATACCACTAACAAGGCTCAAAATAGCCCCACACGAACACAGTAACATAATGAGGGTCCCTACATGCAAAACGAAGCATTGAGAACTTAAAGACAGTCCACTTCGTGTATACAGACAGGAGCCATCTTTGGAAAACAGTCTCGACTAATCAAACCACGAACGACGTGCTAAGTGAGCTGAATTGTATGAAGTTCAGTGAACTTCTGAACTGTATGAATGGCATTCGTGGTTTGATTAGTCTAGATTAGTATAAACTAGCGATTTCTTTTTACTTATTAAATGCCCCCATTACTAGCGTTATACGCTAAACAGTTTTTAGAGATAAAACTCTTTACATTCGATTATCATGAAAACAAATCTCAGAGAACGGTTGACTAGGTACCAACGTTTTATTAGACCAAAGGTTCATTTTGCGCCGGAGTTCTCCTTTAATTACTCACTCTCATGTCGTTCCAAAACCGTAAGACTTTCGTTCATCTTCGGAACACAATTGAAGATCTTTTTGATGAAATCTGAGATATATCTGTCCCTCCATTGACAGCAACACAATTATCACTTTGACGCTTCAAAAAGTTCATAAAGAGATCATAAAACTAATACATATGAATTGAGCGGTTTAGTCCAAAATTTCTGAAGAGACTCGATCGCTTTATATGATGAACAGGTTAAATTTAGTCTTTTATTCGCGTATAAACATTGATCAGCGAACACAAACTGAAGCTCAAACGTGCTGTAACACGAGAATGCACCTCATTGGTTTCTCGCACGTCAAGTGAAGATGATTGGGCTTCCGTTTTCCACGACTGATGTGCGAGTTGATGAATGTTTATATGTGAATAAAAGCCTGAATTCGAAATAGAAATATTTTTTAACATGATAAATGTCACTTTTGATCAATTGAATGCGTTCTTGCTCATTGGTTTATCTACATTAATTTCTCAGGGCTCACTGAAGGATGAGATGCAAAAAATACAAAAAACGGAAAAGTCCATTCAGGAAAAACTCTCTGAGCTCAGTGAGAAAAAACGTGGTGTCCAGGTAAGTGTAAGTGTATCATGTTGTTGATTGAGTTGTTGCAAGTGTTGTTGTTTAGTTAATCGTTTAGTATTTTATAGTTATTATTTTTTTTGACTTGTTCATGTTTTTAAGCTTTCTTTGATCCAGTGTTGTTATTAACAAAACAAAAATAACTAAAATTGTTTTTGCCAATTGTAATTAAACTGAAATAAAATGACATATTTTCATATTTTAAAATGACACATCAATATTAGATGAAAAAATTCAACTTAAATCATGACAATTAGAAATGTTGCCTGGCCAGCTAACTGAAATAAGATCGGTTGAAGTTTAAGTACTAAAATTACCCATATTGCAGAGTTTCCGCTAGAAAAAAATGGTGCCGGTCATAGTGACCGGCAGAGGTTTCGTTTAACGGACATTTTGATGATATGCCGGTCAAATATCGCCTCTTAATTAGTCAAGTTGAGGAAAACTGGAGGCAGGCTATGTAACTTAAAAAAATACATAATCAGGCCGTATAGAATGCAACATGTTATTATTAGCCTGACTTTCAAATAGACAGAAAAAACATGAATGTTCGATTGGCATCAATCAACACCAATTGTTTTTGGTTTCACACACATTCACTTTTTGAAACATTGAGGCACGGATGTACCTAATACAAATAAATAAAACATCTCCAGTTAACTAGCAGATCATTCATTTAGTTCGCTATTAAATAAGAGATCTAGCGCTAAAATCAGTTGTTCCCTTTCGAACGGTCACTTCGTATTGCGTAGCTATACGCAGTGGGGAAACTCCTTTTCCTCGATTTACTGAAACCTATATCTAAAACGCATTTGCAGCTGCACAGCTAGCACACTGAGTGTCTGGCACGCTCATAGGCTGTGCTGCCGCAGCTGCACAACCAATGGCGCGGGCGACTCTGACATGCAGCCAATGAGCTAGCTCAACGTCAGAGCCCGTCAAGGGGGTGTGGCTTAGCCTATAAAAGACCCCCGAATTCGCCATTATAGCAGGATTTTACTCCTTCAGCGACAGTACACATGTCCCTGAGCTTTTTACTGTGAATTCGCCGTCGAACAAGCCTTTCAGCCTGAGCGAGCTTCTCTTCAGCAGACTTCGCCTGCACGCTGTCGTCTCCTGACGCCGTCTCACCTGTGGCTATCCGGCGACATCCTATATCCTTTCTATTATTGTGTTTTCAAAATGCCTCGTTCATCCTGCGCCACGTGCGGAGGCCGTCTGCACGAGGCAGACCAACACGAGAGCTGCATTTCCTGCTTGGGTGTCGACCACGCGGAGAATGCACTCTCTGTCGGCGAATGTGCGGCCTGCGACTGCATACCTATCTCCGTGCTGCGCAATCGGCTAGCTCTCTCTCGAGACGGCGATGCCGCTTCAACCGCGCTTTCCATTCCGAGGAAGAAGAAGCGTCGCAGCCAACGGCAACCGGAGGGTTTGGAGATTTGTGAACGCACGCCGGCCGCGTCCCCGCGTGCTTCACTTTCTCCGACTCAAACGCCATCACCGGTCCTGTTCACAGGAGACCAACGCCCCCCCCCCCCCACACGTGGCGGGCCTCGTCTCCTTCGGCGAATCTCTCGAGCGCGACGACAGCATATCCATCGCCGCTTCTGAGGACGAATGGCCGGGCTCTCTCGACCCCGTCTCCGCTTCTCAATCTGTGGCCAGTGGATTAGCGACCAGGACGAACTCCGACGCCGAAATGCTTCGGATCCTGACGAAGGCCGTCGCGGACCTCGAGCTAGAGTGGGCCTCGCCCGAGGAGCCGCCTCGTAGTCGGCTGGATTGATGGTTTCTGGAGGGGCGCCAGCAGGCCCCGCGTCACAAACCGGCGCCATTTTTCCCCGAGGTCCACGAGGAGCTAACCAAGGCCTGGCGCGCTCCATACTCAGCACGTGTGGGATCTGCAGTTTCCGCGACGCTCTCCTCCGTGGATGGCGCAGCGGAAAAGGGTTATGAGTCTTTGCCGCCCCTCGAAGAGGCCGTGGCAGCTCATCTTTGCCCGAGCACTGCAGCTAGCTGGCGAGCTAGAGCCGCTCATCCCAACAAACCCTGCCGAAACACCTCAGCCCTCGCTGGACGCGCGTACTCCGCCTCCGGTCAGGCTGCATCGGCCCTGCACACGATGGCCGTGTTGCAGGTCTACCAGGCCAAACTCCTCCGGTCCATGGACGAGACTGGCCCGGACCCGGAGACCTTTCGAGACCGGAGGAGTGCTACAGACTTAGCGCTGCGTGCTACTAAGGCTACAGCACAGGCCATCGGAAGAAACATGGCGAGCTTGGTCGTGCTCGAGCGCCATCTTTGGCTTAACCTCACCGAGATTAAGGACGCCGACAGAACGAGGTTTCTCGACGCCCCGGTGTCCAGCTCCGGTCTCTTCGGCCCGGCGGTGAAAGGATTCTCGGAGAGGTACACAGAGGCACGGAAAGCGTCCCAGGCCATGCGACACTTCTTGCCGAAACGTTCGAGCTCCGCGACCAGCAAGCCCAAGCCGCCGCCTTCGCCTCATCCAGCCAAGCCGGTGAAACAGGCCTCTCAGCCCCGCCCTGCGGCTGATAGCCAACGCCAGCCAAGGCCCGCGAAGCGCTACCCGCTCCCCAGGCGTCAAGGCCCTCGACCCAGCGCCGCGGCCGACCAGGTGCCTCCGAAGTCGTCCTAGCACGGAGAGGAAAGAGAGAGGGCTCGTGTCTCGCGCTAGCCGGACCACCCTCGAAAAAACCGGCAAAAATTCCCACAGCTCCCTGTTCAGTTCAGGCGGCTGGGGATTTTATTATTGTAAACAGGCCCGCAGCAGTGAGCGCGTCTTTGCAAACAAACGCCGTTTTCACGGCGACCCAACTAAAGCACAAAAAGAGTATGTTTCACAATCACAACACACGGGTTCACGGTCCCCCTTCACTAGGCGGCCCCCGCCCTGTTGTAAGACTGAAATCCCCCCGGGCAAAAGCCTGTATAATCAGTCAAACACTCAGTATGTGCACAAATCACAGTGTAAGGGTATCAGGTCCCCCTATGTTAGGCGGTCCCCCCCATTCAGTGTGTCAAGCCCTAGCCACACGGGCGATGGCCTGGCAAGCCATCCCTGGTGTGTCGAGTTGGGTCATAAACACTATAAAGCGAGGCTACTCGCTCCAATTCGCTCGCAGACCCCCGAAATTCCAGGCGGTTATCGAGACATCGGTGAGAAGCGGCGTGGGTCACGTGCTTCGCACCGAAGTTCAGAATTTATTAGCAAAAGGAGCGATAGAGTCAGTCCCTCCCGCGCTAATGTATTCGGGGTTTTACAGCCGCTATTTTCTAATTCCAAAGAAAGACGGCGGGCTCAGACCCATACTAGATCTGAGACGTTTGAACAGGGCTCTCATGAGACGGCCTTTCAGAATGTTAACACTCAAACAAATTCTCGCGCAAGTTCGCCCGGGGGATTGGTTTGTTTCAATGGATCTGAAAGATGCATACTTTCATATTCAGATCGACCCTCGTCACAGGCCATTCTTGAGATTCGCCTTCGAGGGGAGGGCATATCAATACACCGTTCTGCCGTTCGGTCTGTGTTTGGCACCCCGTACATTCACGAAATGTATGGATGCAGCGCTCTCCCCGCTAAAAAGCCAGGGAGTGCGTGTGCTGAATTATCTCGACGACTGGCTGGTGCTAGCGCAGTCGAGAGACGAACTAATAGTTCACAGGGATTTGATTCTCGGCCATTTAAAATGCCTGGGTCTCACAATCAATGTTGCCAAAAGCGAACTGAACCCCAGCCAGACTGTGGTCTTTCTGGGCACGGTTTTAGACTCGGTGACAATGAAAGCGCGGCTCACTCAAGAGCGCGCGCTCTCTGTGCAGACACTGGCAGCCGCATTCAGGGCGCGCGAGCGCGCGCCTCTGAAGAGGTTTCAGAAACTGCTTGGTCTAATGGCAGCCGCATCATCAGTACTACACATGGGATTACTGCGCATGCGCCCGCTGCAGCACTGGCTGAAACGCCGTGTGCCAACCCATGCATGGCAGTCAGGCAGCCTGCGCATTATGGTGAATCACGGGTGTTTAAGAACACTGATTCCCTGGCGGGCTCAGGACTGGTACCGCAAGGGGGTGACCATGGGGATAGTTTCCAGGAGGAAGGTGGTTTTTACAGACGCATCCAACCTGGGTTGGGGAGCGCTGCACGAGGGCAAGCCTGCCTCCGGCCTCTGGTCGAGCACGGAGCAGAGCTTACATATCAACTGTCTGGAAATGAAAGCAGTTGGTTTGGCCCTGAGAGCATTTCTGTTAAACCTCAGGGGTCACCATGTCCTGGTCCGTACGGACAACATGTCAGTGGTGGCCTACATAAATCGCCAGGGTGGCATCAGGTCGGGCAACCTGCATGCTATGGCGAGGGACCTCCTCCTATGGGCACAGGCCAACCTGAGCTCCCTGAGAGCAGCACACATCCCGGGCGTCCAAAATCTGGGCGCGGATATGCTCTCACGGGGCAACACTCCCCTAAGCGAGTGGTCTCTGAACCCTCAGACGGTCAGTCTGATATGGGAGAGATTCGGCGAGGCCGAAATCGACCTTTTCGCCTCGAGAGCCAACACCCACTGCAGGGTGTTTTTCTCGAAGAACAGGGACGCGCTGGCCCATCCCTGGCCCAACCGCCCCCTTTATGGCCCAACCGCCCCCTTTCCCCCCCATCTCGATGGTCCCACAAGTCATCGAACGGGTCAGGGAGAGCGGATGCCCAGTCCTTCTGGTGGCTCCACTCTGGAAATCCAGACCATGGTTTCCGGAGCTGGTTCAGCTGTCAGACACGGTCCCCTGGCCCGTTCCAATGAGGAGGGACCTCCTCACACAGGCCAAAGGGACGATATGGCACCCCCGACCCGATTTATGGGCCCTCCATGTGTGGCCCCTAAACGGGTACCCGGGGGCCTTCCTGACAAGGTCTTAAGCACTATCTCTGAAGCAAGGGCCCCGTCTACTAGGCGTCTTTATGCTTTGAAGTGGTCGGGTTTTTCCAGCTGGTGCTCGAAAAATCGAGTTGACCCAGAGTCATGTGAGGTATCGGTGGTACTCTCCTTCCTGCAGGAGCTACTGGACGCGGGCCGCACCCCGTCCACGCTCAAGGTTTATGTGGCAGCCATCGCAGCGCATCATGCGTTGGTGGCTGGTCAATCACTGGGAAGAAATGACCTGGTGGTAAGATTTCTGAAGGGCGCTAGGAGAATTAACCCCTCCAGGCCCCCATCAGTACCTCCCTGGGACCTCTCCACGGTCCTCAGGGCCCTGAAGGGGCCGCCTTTTGAACCGCTCCGGTCGGTGGATCTAAAACCACTCTCGCTTAAGACTGCTCTCCTGTTGGCATTGGCATCTATCAAGCGAGTGGGAGATCTGCAGGCCCTTTCTGTGAGTCCGGCATGTTTGGAGTTTGGAGCGGATGACTCCAGAGTCATTCTCAAACCCAGGCATGGTTACGTACCCAAGGTGCTCTCAACGCCGTTTAGAGCGCAAGTTATCACGCTATTAGCCCTTCCCCCTTCTGCTGAGGATGGGGAGGTTAATCCTCTCTGCCCTGTCAGGGCGCTGAGAGTCTATCTGGAGCGTTCTGCGTCTTTTAGACAGTCAGAACAGCTGTTTGTCTGCTTTGGTGGCCGATCTAAGGGTGGTCCAGTTACCAAGCAAAGACTGTCTAGATGGATAGTGGATGCCATTTCTATGGCTTATACTTCAGTGGGTCAGGTTTGCCCTATAGGTGTCAGGGCCCATTCGACTAGAGGCATGGCCTCGTCATGGGCTTGGTCATCTGGGTTTCCCATTCAAGATATTTGTGATGCGGCCGGCTGGTCCTCGCCTTCCACATTTATGAAGTTCTATAATATGGAGGTGCCTTCCCTGCAGGCGAAGGTTCTTTCAGTATGATTAAGACTCGATGCTGTCTGGTCTTGTCTACAAAAAATTACTGTGCATAATCACATACATATAAAACCCGCTTAGGCCGGTTATGAATTGTACTAATAATCCCGACAGTGTCGGGGTTTGTTAGTATATTCTGTTGGTTGTTACTGACTCTTATATATTATTCAGGCCTGACAGTGTCTGGTCTGATATATATATATATATATTCATATATTGGGTCTGGCTTGTTCTGTTAGCTCAGGGGGCCTGAGTTGCAGTGCAACCAGTTACTAAGGGTGCGGCGTTTTACAGGGCGTCCCCACTGCGTATAGCTACGCAATACGAAGTGACCGTTCGAAAGGGAACTACTCGGTTACTATCGTAACCTCAGTTCCCTGAGAGAGGGAACGAGTATTGCGTAGCCGGCCGCACTTTGTAACTGGTGAAGTTGTCGCTTCAGTCGTATAAACCTGCTATAATGGCGAATTCGGGGGTCTTTTATAGGCTAAGCCACACCCCCTTGACGGGCTCTGACGTTGAGCTAGCTCATTGGCTGCATGTCAGAGTCGCCCGCGCCATTGGTTGTGCAGTTGCGGCAGCACAGCCTATGAGCGTGCCAGACGCTCAGTGTGCTAGCTGTGCAGCTGCAAATGCGTTTTACATATAGGTTTCAGTAAATCGAGGAAAAGGAGTTTCCCCACTGCGTATAGCTACGCAATACTCGTTCCCTCTCTCAGGGAACTGAGGTTACGATAGTAACCGAGTAGTTTTTTTTAATCAAGCTGAGCGCTCGTGTCCGCTGCTATCAGTCGCATGGACGACGCGCTGCGCGAGTTGCGCAATCTTCACTCGGACGCGCGTTTCAATCTATCGCCGTTGCGGAGACTATACATAGGCGAAGCACTGCTACTTGGGCGCAGAAATATCACGCAACACCTGAAATAAAGCTTGCCACAAAGAACCGGCGAAAGTAATGATTATGCATGAAACATTTAAATTGTTGATAAATTGATAAAGTTGACGATGCAGACTCGCCATCTTCGCAGTAGTGAACGCGGCTAGAGAGAGAAATGCACACTTCATATGAATAAATTCTTATTTTTTAATCCAGGCAAATTTGTTGATGAAACATTGATTAAAATGAAGATACAATTTATAGAAAACGAAATAAACTTTAAAGAAAGGCTTTCTACAAAACAAAACTAAATAAGTGGTCAAAATCATGTCTGACCAATTCCAAATGTTTTCTGATATATTGGCCTATTGGTCATATGATCCTATCTTACTCATCTCATGCGGTTCCCTTTTCATATAGCCTAATAAACATAGATGAAATAAAAAAATAATAACATTGTATTATTTATAAAAATGAAACGTATATTTAAGTTTTTTAACTTATAATAAGCGTCACACTGCTCCGCTTTGCTCACATGCTCTGGTGTGTAGATTTTCGAATAATAATCAACCCAGCGATCTTCGAATATTATTTTTGCTTGAAAATTTCGTTTTGTATAAATTGTATATTCATTTTAATCAATGTTTCATCAACAAATTTGCCTGGATTATTAAATAAGAAGCAAATATAGTGGACAATATAGGCTAATCAGGACACGGAGGCGTCGGCGCGTGCACACTTCTCTCAGGCGCGTTCACTACTGCGAAGATGGCGAGTCTGCATCGTCAACTTTATCAACTTTATCAATAATATCAATGGGCCTGGCCATATTTGAAACGTCTCACTCAATCGTTCGTTGTTTAGGTCTATATTACAGCCGTTCTAGGCATGCGCTTTATTTGAAATGCAGCATGCGATGTTGTTTAATAACTTTTCAAACGGTAGAGGCTGTTCCTTTATAACATAGCCAAAGGTCGGTGTATTTTAGCTTTATACATTTTAGGCTTATTCTCAAATTCATATTGTGTTAGGGGGGCGGGATTATTACGCAATTTTAATCGGACAATTTGACCGGAGAGATTTAATTTTGTCGGACATTTCATTTTTTTCCCGGCCAATGTCCGGTAATTACCGGACAACGGAAACCCTGCCATATTGAAAGAGAAATATTTATATAGAAATTTAATTATAATTAGAAATCGCTGAATAGAAACCAGTAAGCCCATAACAAAATGGCTAAAATTGAAAATAGAAAGATACAAGCAAAAAGTATATAAAATGATTCTAAAATAACACTGGTCACACACATTGGGTCTGTAAAGCACTTTGCTCAACTCTTGTGTTGTTTTTATTAAACTTGCTTTAGAAATAAAATGATTGATTGACATGAAATCAACCATGATCTCTTATACAGTTAGTCAAGTCAATATTAGTGTTGACTAATTCCCTAACAGAAAAGATCAAAATAAACAGGAATAGTTCAGCATACAATAGCATAAACTAAAATGTGAACTCTGTGCAGTAACTCTCATTGTCCCCGACTCTTGCAGACGGGGCTGGAGGACGTGCGGGCTGCTGTTTTGCAGCAGTATCAGGCGATGCGAGAGGCTCTGGAGGACGAGGAGGGACAGGCGTTACGCTGCGTAGCCCAGGAAGAGCACAGAGTGCTGGGAAGCATTGACAAGCAGCTGGACACGTTACAGGGCGCCTTGACATCCAGCCAGACCATATTAAACACCTTGCAGGGAATCACCAATGCTGAGCGGGTGTCACAGTACCAGGACCAGGCCTTCATCATGGTACGACAAGCAGCAGTGATCATTAGCTAGCTACGTTTCCATCCTTCTATTTTCATGCTCATTTTGGGATAACACGTCAAAAAACGCTGGAGCGAAGTGCCAAGAGTTGGATAAATTCAAAAAATCCCCATTAAAAACGTATGTGCTCAATTGATGCGGCAATTTCTCAGGAAGTGGCGAATTTGTTCTCTTGAACACATTGGGATGCTGCTTTATTTGCAAATTTTTTATGCGATATTCCAGTATTGTGCGGGTTTAATTCGCAACTTTGGATGGAAACATAGCTAATGAGAGATTTAAAGAGAGATTTGTAGTTTTGTTTATTAAACATATTTTGGTACTTTGATTTTAGTAAAGTTGTATATGTAACGCAACTCTTGCTGTTTATTTCAGGAATACAGCAAAATAGCAGGACAGTAAGTAAAATGGTTCATTTATTTGGTGATTTGGATAAATATACTTATTTAATGGATAGTTCACCCAAAAATGAGAGTTCTGTCATCATTTACTCGCCCTCAAGTTGTTCCGAACCTGTATGAATTTGTTCTGCTGGACACAAAAGAAGATATTTTGAAGAATGTTTGTAACCAAACATTTGTGGGGCACCATTGACCTCCACAGTATGGAAAAAACATCTTGTGTGTTCAGCAGAACAAAGACATGTATACAGGTTTGGAACTTGAGTATATGATGACAGAATTTTCATGTTTGGGTGAACTATCCCTTTAAGTGTTTTTGATTATTTTTACTAACCACCCTGTCTTCCTCCAGACTGACTGCACTCTCTGACCCTGTGCAAACCCTCCAGCCTCCTCAGGAGATAAACCAAGACCGACTGGACTGTCTTCATGACTGGACCGAGAGGAGACTGGAGACTGTGCTCGTAACACTGCCTCACCGAGACCCTTTCAGACTGCTGTGTGAGTCATTTACACTCCTAACTATACTACAAATACTGCTAGGGCATATATATATATATATATAAATTATGCTTTAATATGGCTATTAAAGTTCTCTCTCTCCCTGATAAAGTGTGAGAGTTTTATTTTAGCCCTATTCAGACAGTAATGTGGACGTCTGTAAACCGGCGAGTCGTGCTGCTTAATACTATATATTTTTGGAAACCATGATACATTTTTGAAGGATTCTTTGATGAATAGAAAGTTCAAAAGAACAGCACTTTTGTGACATTATGAACGTCTGTACTGGCACTTGATCAAAATCCATATTTGCTAATAAAAGTATACTTTTTTTTTATTTTATTTAAATCATACTGACCCCAAACTCTTAAATAGTAGTGTAGGTACCACTTACACTTTTACTTTAAACACATTTTAAAATCTTTAAATAATGTCAATAAGTAAGGCAATTGTACTTGAATTGATTTAATTTAATTAGGTATTGTGATATATTATATTATACTGTAATACTTTAATGGCAGATAAACAAAGCATATTAGATTTTATATCAAAAGAAGATATACTTTATTTCAGGGTCCAATTATCTCTATTAACTAGTTGATTATTAGCATTCATATGACTAGGATATTGGCTGTTTATTAGTACTTATAAACCACATATTAATGCCTTATTCTGTATGACCAGATTCAACATCCGTTAATCCTACCCGATCACACTTTAGATTAGGGTTCAATTCTCACTATTAACTAACTATTAACTACAACTTTTGCCTCAATAAACACTTAATTACTGCTTATTAACAAGCGTGCTGGACAAGTGCTGAACCCAAACCGTCTTGATCGCCCCCTGGTGGCTGGTCCCAGTATAGGTCAAAAAGCCCGCCTCCCCATGGGGTCTAATGGACGTGATGGAAACTAAACAATCAAATTACACTTCAAATAAGTTTTTTTCATGTCATTTAATGTAGTTTTATCACGCTGATTTAAGTTTAAGTGTTTGTTTTTTAAAATTTCATTATTTGATGCTATAAAAACGGGAATGTGACGTCATGATTGACAGCTTCTCTAGACGAAGTAACCGAGGCACCATATGACTTTTTGGGGGGATTTTCGGGAGGAGAATAGATCTTCAACTTTAATTTCTACATGTCGATAACTGTTTATTTCACACAGTAAACTTTGTAGTAACCGTTTCTGCGGGAGTGAGGGCGGGACCATGATATCGCGGCTTTACTTGCTGCTTACTACTGCGCAGACTCGGGTCCCGCATTACTACTGCGCAGAATCAGGTCCCAAATCAGCGCAAGATGTCAGCGCCATATTAGGACTTTGGCGGCTTTACTTTTCAACAATGGAAGAGAGTGAAGGGGCGCCGTCCATCTTTTTACAGTCTATGCTTATTAATAGTTAGTGAGGTAGTTTTAAAGGGTTAGTTCGCCCATTTAAGACATGAAGTTGTATGCAATCCTTACCAGCACTATAGTGCATACACACTGACCCACTCTGTTGTCACCTCCCTGGTCAGAGTTCTGGTCGCTGGAAGTTTTTCAATAAAGTACTCCCGGTTATTTTCCGGTGCCACAAAACTGTGCGTTTTTACGTGAAAAAATGATTTGCGTTTCAAAGCTTGATTAATTTACCACACAAAAAACACGCCGGTCAAAATTCATACCTCAGTTTTAATCGGCACTATTTTCTATCCATTTCTATCAATCCGCGCTGCTGTCAACGTCAACTGTGCGCACGTTCCGATCGCGTGATTTTTTCCCCCCAAACCACTTCAGCGGAAATCCCGCCCTGCAGCTGATTCTAAAGTTGTCATTGGTCATGTCAATCACTGTACAGATTGCCTACACCAAACACTGATCCCTAAACCTACCCGTCACTGTAACCTCCTAAACCAATGAAATCGGCTGCAGGGCGGGATTTCGTGGTTTGGGAAAAAAAAATCATGCGTTCCGATCAGCTGTTCCATAGTGTTTACACAATCGATTGACAGCGACGTAAAAAGTATTAAATTAACAATGGTGCGAACTTGTAAATTCCCAGGCTGTGACCACAAGGATGTGCCGGGATCAAAGTTCAGATTCCATCGTTTTCCTGTTTCGAATATAACTATGAGACAGCTTCGGCTGGTTGCCATCGGCTACTCTGCGGGAGCTAAAATATCCAGAATAAAGGATTTTTTCGTGTGTGTAGTGCTCACTTAGGCGATGACGATTACATCCCCAACCAAGGAGGAAAGGGAAATTAAAGAGTTTTGCTGTACCATACCACGGGTAAGCTCTATTTACTAACTTTATGATCCCATGTCTAAACTGTACAGTAAACAAGCTGATGTTTAGACTCCATTATAAAACACGTGAAAAGATGTCTAATATAAAAACAGCTATAGGGATATTGGTACAATTTGCTGAGAAAACTATTTGATAACGCACACACAATTGAGGTTTTGTGTTGCAATCAATAACATTGTCGTTGTGCTAAAATTACTTTCATCATCTGATCCGTCTGACATTGTGCTAAAATTGGTTTCACCATCAGAAGTTTCGCAGTCAGACATGTTGTCAGCGAGTCGCGCTATCAACAGCTGATCGGAACGTGCGCACTGTTGACGTTGACAGCAGCGCGGATTGATAGAAATGGATAGAAAATAGTGCCGATTAAAACTGAGGTATGAATTTTGACCGGCGTGTTTTTTGTGTGGTAAATTAATCAAGCTTTGAAACGCAAATCATTTTTTCACGTAAAAACGCACAGTTTTGTGGCACCGGAAAATAACCGGGAGTACTTTATTGAAAAACTTCCAGCGGCCAGAACTCTGACCAGGGACGTGACAACAGAGTGGGTCAGTGTGTATGCACTATAGTGCTGGTAAGGATTGCATACAACTTCATGTCTTAAATGGGCGAACTAACCCTTTAAATGGGCGAACTAACCCTTTAAGTTTAGGTATTGCGCATAATTTTACTCATTCCTGCAGATTTTGTGCTCACACCCAGTGCGCGCACGTAAAGCCGCCGAGTACTAAATTTAGTTATTGTTCCCTGCTTATTGCGCTTAAACTGTCAAATACACACAAAATAATGTCAAAATGCCGGTTTTGGTGAGTATTAATGTAAACAGTCAGTTATGTTTTAAGTGAATGTAAACAGTTGAGAAAGAAAACGTGTGTGTAACAGTATAATGGATCCGTGCATCAGGCCTTAAAGTGACAGCAGCCTAATATACCTGCTGCCAAATTATGAGATAATATTTTCCCCAAGGTATCGGTGTCAAAATTGTGGCCAGTGATAATGTTGAGGGGCTAATAAATTTGGAAAACCACCAGCCACAGTGTCTGGTGAGCCATAAAAGTTAGTGTCAAGACCCGGACACGCATATTATGTCTGACACCTGATGTTTCTGTCTGCAGATGGGATAAGCCCAAGTCTGGATCCTGATACTGCCCATCCAAAGCTGCTGCTGTCGGATGAAAACCGTACGGTGGAGTACAGCGAGACCCAGCAGGACTACAGCGAGCAGGAGACACGCTTCAACATTTTCCCCCAGGTGCTGGGCTCTCGTGCCATAGACGGCGGCTGCTGCTACTGGGAAGTGGAGGTCTCTCTGGATGAGGGCCGCTGGAAGCTGGGCGTCTGTGATGGACAGATTGGCAGAAAGGGGCAAAAGGACGTCTGCCGTATTGGCTTCTACCCCAATTCTTGGTGTTTAATTTATGAGAAGGGAAAGGTGGAAGCTCTGCACGATAAGGTGGCTTCACCTGTGTGTGCCGCTGAACTTTGGAAGGTCGGAGTGCTGCTGGATTTTAAAGAAGGTCGCTTGTCTTTTTATAGCGTGGCCAGGGAAGGAGCTCTTTCTTTGCTGTACAGTTTTGAGCATAAGTTCACCGAGCCCTTGTATCCGGCGCTGGCAGTTTCTAAAACTCAGCTCAGCATCTGTGATATATTTACCAAGACCACTGCAGACTAGACTATGTATGACACTTTATTACATTAAGAAACACTAATCACTTTTACATTCCATAAAACATCATTCCAATAGTCATGACTGCTGAATCTAAGAGTGCAAGAGGTCTTGAAAACAATGGCCTATTTTTTTCTGAATGATCGATGATGATCCTCTGATTTTTAATGGGAAAGATTTACAAATCGGAGCCATTTCCATTACAAATATATGCTTTATATATGCATTTATATAACATCTGGAATGGTCTTTTTTCAAAACAATCTCGCACAGCCTTTTAACTTTTTTCAACCACTTTTCGATCTTTTTTTAAAATGTTTTTTTTTTTAACTATTATTATTACTTTGATAATTTTAGATAAATAATTTTTTATTTTTTTATATTAAGTCAAATATAAATGTCCATTGTATTTTCGTGTATACTTAAATAAACTGAAGGCCAGGATAAATATTTTTCAGTAATGCAAAAAAATAGATAAAGTGAACAATTTCAAACGTTACTCGATTTTATACTAGATACCAGCATATCTATATCATTCCATGTTGATATACTGTTGCGAGTTGATGAATATTGCATTTTAACTCTAGGTGGCAGTATTGTTCAATATATAATTTGACATTTCTATGATGATTGTTTGAACTGTGCAGTAAAGCTTATGGAATTAAATTAAGATGTTTCTTAAAAATGGACTGTTATTTTCAAGTTTATCTGCTTCACAGATGTTTAACAGCACAAATATATTCTTCTGTGCTGTACTGTGTTCATGAATTACCTGTGAGATGTTTCTTGATAAAGCCTGTGTTGTCACAAAAGCTTTTCTTGTTTCATATGTTTTGTAAATAAGGATGTGCACTTTCATTTTCATTTAAGCCACTGGTGGGAGATGTCCTTCAGGAGTCATCTGTTCTAAACACTGCTTTCACAATTCAATTCAATTCATTTCGGGTCAATACAAATTGCCCTGGCTGTTAATAAAGAAAAACAATGAGTGAAGAAAACATTACAGTGATGTGGTGATAAAGACCCTCTTAGAAAATGTCAATACATGCCTGTATTGACAGATTCAAACTGACTAAATTATTCATTTGTTCATGATGTACATTTCATAATTAACCTTTAGTTCACTTGTAAAATAATAGAATTAATTGGATTTACTTGTGAAGTACTCAGTAAAGCTATATTATTAAATGTAATGTTTTTAAAAAGTTACATTAGATTTAAAAATCTCACAAAAACAATAAAGTTAATAAAATCTATTTTAGAATCAATAAGATTTTTTTGCATTGTGACTCCTTTTACTGCCAATCTTCTCCTCAAATCCTCATTACCATAATATGTCTGGGCATTTTTTATTCTCAGTTATTGTTATTCCCATATTATTCTCATTAGATTCCATTACTGTAAGTACAGCAAAAAAAAGTGTAATAAACTACTTATACACAACTTAAAATTAATATATATATATATATACAATATGTCTATATACTAATATACACTGAACACAATTATAAACGCAACACTTTTGTTTTTGCCCCCATTTTTCATGAGCTGAACTCAAAGATCTAAGACTTTTTCTATGTACACAAAAGGCCTATTTTTCTGAAATATTGTTCACAAATCTGTCTAAAGCCCTATTCGCACGGGATTAGTATTATCTGGGGACCTCGTGTGATTTAAAAATTACCCCGCCACATCTGAATTTCGTGTGGCGCATTCGCACGGGATAACCGAAGCCTGTGATTTTACTCGAATTTACTGACTTATCTCCCGGATATGACGTCAATAGGCTTGGAAATGTCTTTTCTTTATAGGTCTAGCTGTATGATATATTATGACATAAACAGAATAAAGTTCCTTACCGCATGCTGCTATACATGTCATTCATCTCCATCTAATCATTCGTTTTGTTTTTGCTCGTCTGATGATTTTCAGCTTTCACTTTCTGCAAATTGTGTAGTTGCGATATGACCCAGCACCCAAAATACTATCAAAACACTCCAAACCAGCCTCCATTCTTCGCAAAAGATGGATAAAAAGGCGCACATGAAACAAAAACCTTGAAAAAATGATATACGATCCGGCCAAATCACAGAGATGCCGATTCGCGCGGGACTAATATTATCACAGAACCTCTGTGTTAGGCGAAATATAGTAGGTAATTTGCGGGGGAATTTTTACTTTACAAATTACAGACATGGACGATTCGCACGGGATTAAGATCACAGACAAACTCCGCAATTATTACAAATTACTATATGTCACCAGATAATACTAATCCCGTGCGAACAGGGTTTAAATCTGTGTTAGTGAGCACTTCTCCTTTGCCGAGATAATCCATCCACCTCACAGGTGTGGCATATCAAGATGCTGATTAGACAGCATGATTATTGCACAGGTGTGCCTTAGGCTGTCCACAATAAAAGGCCACTCTAAAATGTGCAGTTTTACTGTATTGGGGTGGTCGGGGGGGTCCGAAAACCAGTCAGTATCTGGTGTAACCACCATTTGCTTCACGCAGTGCAACACATCTCCTTAGCATAGAGTTGATCAGTCTCAGAATCAGTCTGGCCATTTACCTCTGGCATCAACAAGACATTTTCTCCCACAGAACTGCCGCTCACTGGATATTTTCTCTTTTTTGTAAACCCGAGACATGGTTGTGCATGGAAATCCAAGTAAATCAACTGTTTCTGGAATACTCAGACCAGCTCGTCTGGCACCAACAACCATGCCATGTTCAAAGTCAGTATATCAGTATATATATATATTTTTTTTTTTTTTTTTGTGAGCTTCACCTTTTTACTTCTGAATAATTTCCTTTGAAGTTCTACCTCCTCATTTTTGGCAAAACATCTCTACAGATGAACTAGGTGCACTGCCATGGCAACAAACCTGTGCCCTAACCCAGGCTCTATCTCAGCGGTGCAGACATTTGGTCAGGGGTGGTTTTGCTCCCGGCTGCCTGTGGAAACAGGTGCACACTGCTGTAACTGCAGAATAATCCCAGCTGCCTTACAGCTGCTCCCCGTACTCTGACCGCTCACACATCAACTCTCCCCCAGTGTGAATTTACACCGTTCAGAACAGCTGAGACATGAAGGGGACACTCAGTCCTACTGAGATTAAACTCATTCGCTGAAGTAATTCATTTGTCATGTAGGGCTGAGCGCACTCGATGGTAGATCCATCTTATTTATGATATTCTAATATTCAGAATTTGTTTTTCTGCTATAGATCACCTCTCTTTCATTGTGGTGGCAATAAACAAGAAAAGCTGTATTGGATTACCTTAATTGTGTTTTCGTCTTTGTCTTTGGGAATTTGTTCAATGTAAAAAATTATATGATCAGTCATGGGAGCATGTTAAAATAATGTATTCAGCTTAATTTTTGAAGTTATAAGAGATTCAACTTGTTTTTTTAAGTCAGTTTATATAATTAAATAAAAAATTCACGTCCAGTTTGATTATACTTTAATGCGGCGACTGGACAAAGTTTTTAAATTGAAATAGATATAATTTATTTACAGCAGCCTATAGGTTAGATTGCACATGCTATGCAATGAGTGCAATTTACAATAAGGTTCATTAGTAAACATTAGTTAACCTTAATTAACATGAACTAATAATGAACAATATACTTCTTCAGCATTTATAATCTTAGTTAATATTAATTGCAACATTTACTAATACATTATTAAAATCAAAGGTTGCATTTGTTAACATTAGTTACTGCACTGTGAACTAACATGAACAAACAATGAACAGCTGTTTTCTATTAACTAACATAAACAAAAATGAATAAATACTGTAACAGCTCAATGTTAGTTCATGGTAGTTAATACATTACCTAATGTTAACTAATGAACCTTATTGTAAAGTGTTACCTGTAATTTATATAGGCCTATACTCATTTTCATAATTAGAATCTCTCTGATCAGTGTCTTTAAAAGCCCTAAGGAAGCCCTTTGTTATTGGCATGTGTGTGTGTATACAACATCTCCTCATATACTATCTATAAACTGTTCCTCTGGCAACAACAGCGCCTTGGACTGCTGAATATACTATACCTAACGGCAATCATAGAGCACAGAGCTTTTATCTGAGATTTGCAGACTTTTTGTGAAATTTAGGCGATTTGACTGAATCCTCAGAGTAAATCGCATCATCATTTTCATCACGTATCATTGTTCCCATGAGGTGTTCATTTCAGCCTTTAGCACAGATGGCCAGGGACTGAGAACGTGGCCAGCTGGCTAATGTACATATTCCAAGACCTCTCTCAGAGGAAAAGACTTTTGACACTGTCCTCAATGTGACTTGACACTCGGAACACGGTGTATACGGAAGGAAAGCTATTACATCTATACTTGCCTACAATGCAATGCATGAGCCAAAAAAACTTCATGAATGCTTATCCTAATGGACACAGTGACAGATCTTTTACTCTATAAACTTGTTGTGTACATCCAGGTCAAACTGATTATTGAAAAAGAAAAGGGCAGTGGCTATTTGCACGAGTGAATAGATGCTATTTACACTCAGCGCAAATAGAGATAGCTGCTATTTTTACACTGAGGAGAAATTCACTTTTTGGATTTCCCTCACAGTTTTAAACTAACAACACTGTTGTTTCCTCTCTCATCCTCATAATTTTCATTAAATGGGTTTGACAGAGTATGTCAGTCCTTTAATTAAGCTATCACTCAATGAGACCTCAATTAGGATGGATGGAACAGATCTCTCAGTTAAGAATGACAGTCTGGGTGTTGTAATCGAAATAGACACATCCAGCTACTCGACACTAATTTACATACAGCTCAAGCTCCTAAGCTTGTCTGATCCTTGAAGACTTTTAAGATGGCAGTAAGATCAATACGTTTTCGGAGTCAGATCTTTTCACACTGCCTTTTATATTGGTGTCGACAGGTGTTGATGCCATAAATCCATGCACTGGCAGCCTATTCAAACACACATCCATTTGTGTTTATAGCGATGCTTAATTGGAATTCGCCCTGTATCCGCGGCTGTAATTCTGGTGTGTGCAGGATTTGAGTCATTCCTTGAAATCGGGTCTCTTTAAATACTAGCCTACACACAAATGACATTTATTTAAAGTATGTATATAGGCCTACTACGTGCATTATAAAACAAATTGGACGTAATGCAATTTATTTCACTTAATAAACTCCCATGAAAAGGAAGTTGCAATTTTATCTTTTTTTGCCTATTTTGACGTAGGCTATATCTGAGTGAAACGGCTTCTCAAAGAAGAAATAATATAGGGACTTTTGTCCCTTTTTTTGTCCATTGGGAATTGATTGGATGGTTGTGGTTTGCAATTGATGGATCTCACGTGAGGTTGCCTCATCAGAAGAGATTGGAGGAGGTTATTTTGATCAAAGATTACAATGACACGTGAATTTGGATTTTTTTTTCTTTTGTACATTGTATGTAATGGACTATAACGGAAGCATGAAGACAATATACAGGTAAAATTATCAATTAATTTGAACTCAAATCAATAGACCTATTTCATGTCCATGTTTTTTTTTTTTTTTTTTTTTGCTGTAAAGTAGGCATAAGAAAGATAATGTACAGGTAATATAGGTGGTCACAAAATAAACTCTATAAGCA